GTTTGCTTTCAGTGGTGTGAAATATCGGTGGAAGAATTTTTGAGAGAGGAAAATATGCTCTTTTGCACGTAATTTGTTTCTGAACAAAAGACAGGAAGACGTTTACATTACCTTATAAATCGTGCCTATAGATATAAAGAGTATAAATACGATGGAGAGGAGAAAAGTCGTGACGTTGGTGTCCCCCGAGCAAAGTGCCAGTAAAGTCAAAGGGACAACGTCATATCCTTTTTGGCGGGATATTCCTCTCTGCCTTCCCCTATGGTGACTTCTGCAGACTCCGTCATCATACGCGCAAACAATGGCTTTTCGCGAGCGACTGCGTGAGTCGCGAAAAAGTGAGACAGCCGTGCGGAAGGACCCTTTGTCTTTGGGGTACACTCGGGGTACTTTCGAGGGGACCGGCTCGAAGGAGAAAGGTCCACGCTTCGCCAGCCATTCTTCCTTCACTTACTAAGAACGAACACAGACCTTTGTTTTACATTCAAGGAAAAAATATTACTCGAAAAGAAACTTTGACTGTGGAACGACTAGTCGTTTTAACAGTATCCTTATATAGTAGCCCCAGCGCTTTTCTCCGTCTGATATAAAAATATTACAAAGTTTTCAAATATCACAGCGAGAAGTAATATTGTACTACAAATATTTACATTATAATTTTAAAAGAATCTGCTTTCTAAATTATTAAACGCCGTTTTTTTTTTTCTGTTCCATCGCGCCTTCCAACGTTTTAGTATAATAACTTGAAACACGCGAACCAACAATAAGTTGTGACGCTACGTAACGACACGCATCAAACGCGCGCCAGTCTTTCTCCATTTCAATTCTCTCACCTAGTTGTAAACCAACAAAGCTACGAGTGGGACAATAGCGCCGCCGCACACCGAGGCACTTACATGACAGACTAGAACAAAGTAGCATGACACTTCCAGTAACAGAAGCGTCATCGGACAGAGATACGTCGGAATGTCGGCGCGCTGGCGCGCTGTCTATCTGTCCTCGGCAGACAATACGAGATCCGAGGACAGACGTGGCCGAACCGCGCCCCTTTCATGTACCGCTGATTGATACCCTTGGTCCTGTCCAACGTGGGGATGCGACGGTAATGTCGCCCTCGTTGCCAGTCTCGCGTACGGCCACATTATCAACGCCAGGCCCGAGATGTACCGATTAACCGAGTGCTCGATGCTCGACATTGCCGAAAACGTAGAATCGCACGCTTGTCGCTTCGACGTGAAATAGACGCGCGAAGATTGAAGGCATGTAGTATTATCGCCACGTGAACGCCCGACATATCATACATTATTGAATCAATACATATAGCGATAATATCAGTTTTATTTCAAAATTTAGTATGAAAGAAGGAGAAATTTGTTTTAACAAGTATAACGCGCACATAGAGTTCGTCGATGTCTTTTGACCTAAGAGCTCTCTTAACGTAACAGAATTTTCCTGAAAATATGGAATTTTGAAACGCCGTTTTGGACGAAACGTTCGCGATACGGCACGGCGTCTTTATTTTATGCGCATAACTGCGCGCCAACTTGGCCAGGATATGTTGAAGCGCGATAGCACTATTTCCGCCTGTCGAACGCCGCCGTTGGGTGACGATCGGTATCACCACACTTCCGGCTCGAACCTGGCTGATAAATGTCGTTTCCTTCGCATCGAGCCGGCGCGAGCGGCGACATTTCAAAGGGCTTTTCCTGACAGCAGTGGCGAAAGGGCGGCACCGCGGATACGCTATTGCAGAGTTATCCGCCGCATCCGTCGCTTCTTGTTAGAGTGACGTTCGCGAGAGACGATCAAAGGCGACATTCCTCGCAGGCAAGAATCTGCGGAATTGCTATCCGGACGCAAGCCAGCAAGCCGTGCGTGACGATTTGGCGAGGAAATTAGCGGGTCGTTGCCTACGCGGCTCCTTGTCATCGGCGTCGCGTCGGTGTCGTGCCGCGGGCGTCGCTTGAATTCGCGTGAGTGCCGTTTTAATCGCGCACAAAGCGCCGGTTATAATGCGAATTACGTCGGGGCAAGACTTATTGATCTATACATACGTAGGGAAAACGCAGGCAACTTCGCTTGAGAATTTACGCAATGTTTTATGCAACACTAGACTTCAACGCGATGAATAGATCTAAAATTATTATGTTTATGTAATACTGTGTTTTATTTAAACGTGCGGAACACTGTCTTTATTTTTATACGATATTTGTCTATAGACAATTATATACGTATTTTATATACACTTACTTTTTTATGCACTTTTATTTATTTTATATTTCTGTCGATTTTATTGTCGAATATATGATTCTTTTATAAAAAATGTCAGAATTGGCTGTCAGGAATATTTTGATGTTCTAGTAAAATTAATATCATTAATATGAATATTTCCCCAATATATATCTGTATTAAAAAGCGAAATTATTACGCTATATTTTGATTGATGTCAAAAAGATAAATATAATTTTATAATACGCTTGAAAGTATTATTTTCATGCGATAGCCGTGTATTCTTGATTTCAACATAGCTTTTAGAGAATATGGCACGCAGTAATTTCAATTAACCGTAGAGAGGATTTACAATACCGTGAAAAATTGTCGATCAATGACAAAATCAAATAACTCCGAATATTGATACCTTTTTGCATAGCTTTCACAACTTGCGATATGTGCTGTCGAAGGTAAATTATTCTGTTTACATCCACTATTTTTCTGTTATTCACAATTTTCCCGATATCGACGTAACCGTTTTCGGTTACGTAAACTTCGGGTAGTATTTTATATATAATCGTTATTCAACCGTTTCAATAATTTGTCGACAGTTTGATCTGCAATCCAAATTATTTTACGAGAGATATACACATATGTATATCTTTACGCATATCATTTTTTAATTGCTCACAATTAATTATGTTTGTATATTCATCATATACTTTTGTTTTTTTTATAAGAAATTTAATATTATCATTATGTTTAAAAGATACTTTTCCATATTTTTGCTGCGCGAATTTTCTCTATAGAAATTAATCCGGAAGAAACCAACGAAACTTTGATAAATCATACTCCTTTATCTGTAAAATAAGACAGTCGCGAACAAGAGAATCCTTGGAAGAGACTTTTGAAGTCTATTCAATCTTTCGTCAGTTTCGAATAGTCGCTGCTTTTACTGAAAATTGGATGGGTGAGCCAGCTATTGTATCACTCGAGGCCTCTTCTCAGTCCGTAAATGTTGGCTTGTGAATTATCCTTCTGCAGTTCCATCCACGTATAAAATTGAATAATTCCAATTTCTCTTATCAAAATGCACTTTTAATTCACTGCGAGAAGAATCTTCGCATTGATATAAAAATTTATAACTCAAGTCCGTAATTCGAACAACAATGCCTTGCCATTATTATTACACATTGCTGATGCATGTTGTTATGTGATCGGTGAAAATTTACATTACATATATTGTACAGTTTTGCGTGCTCTAATAGCGCGTAATAACCGCAAAGATAATCTGCAGCACGAAATTGATTAAATGCCGCATACTGCGGTCAGAATACGTCATCAAATTTACCTCGTTTATGGAAGCCGAAATTTTGTCTAAAAGCAGAATCACAAATGAGCACAGATACATTTCCAAAAATTAGATAAAATATAAAAATTTTTTATTCCATATGTATATATAAATATTTACATTTACAATTAGAAATTTTTAACAAGTACGGAATGTAATTCACTTTTTTTACTTGTACTTGATTTTCAAAGATTTTAAATATTATTCTGATATAATTCTGGAATCATTCCATTAGTACAGAACTCGTATATACTTTCAAGAAGTATAAATTTAGCGATAAATTCCAATAAAATAAGGTAACCGTAAGCGTTACACCGTTCGCTATATAATTTCATTAATAACATCGTTATAGTGTCGTATAGCATGTTCGTTAACGAACTTAGTGAAGCTGTGCGGCAAAATCTTGCCCAGGACAAGGACATCTTAAACATTTTAGTCTGCAAATGAGCAAACTTCTTAGACGGCATCAGGGCATCGTTATAATATTCCCGCACCAATAGCGTACTCAGAACGCTTTTTGCAAGCGAAATGCTCTCCTTATACTTGTAATGCAAGTCAAGACTTGTATGGTCCGTAACGTTATTCAGAATGCATCTTGATTCTTCGCGTACCATATGCGATTCTCTTTCATTCACATAAGAAATGTATGCAATAATGCGATTCTCTTTCATTCACAAGGAAAACATATCTATTTCATTTTTTCCAGAATATATATATTAAATGTATTCAAGAATCTTTTCTCGTCTACTATACATACGAATCGAATATTCTTCGCTCACTTGAAAGAAAAAAAGTACAACAACTGGAAGGTATTAAGAGATATTCAAAACACGCAGATGCAAAGAGGATCTTGATACTTACACCGATTCTTGCCCGAGGTAGATCCTCTTTGTATTTATGATAAAAATCATTCCTTACGTCCGTATTATTCCCGTCCAGTATTAGTCTCAGATTCGCATGAGTCATATAATCTCGTACACGGACTGTCCTCTATCTACAGATTGTTTCCGAGATGATATACATATAAGGAACAGGTCTTTCACATTGATAACAATAGTAAGATAAAAAAATTTATTTTGAGAAAAAAATTTAAATAAATTATTATTTTATTAGATTTCTAATTATATATATATAGAAAAAAATACATAACGGATCACAACGCAATAGCGATATCTTATCTTCGAAGAAGCACTACTGGAAAAATGAAAATGTTGCATGCAATTTAGATAACACTTTTTTAATGATGAGTAATCAACGAAGTTTTTATTTCCGCTGAGTCATATAGCGATAGTTACATAGACATACATACACGTTGTGTATTACATAAATATTTTATTTTAAATATTGAAATTAAAAACATGATGATAATTTAATGTCAATAATTTTAACATAATGTATCAGAAAAACAGTTATAAAAATTATAAGATTACATGACGTATTCGTGGTATATAATATACAATTATAGTTTTACTTAAACTTTTGCAATAAAAACTGTAATTATATATCAAGCCACTTTAAAATGATGGATATAAAGCAGAATCCCATTGTTCAAATTCTACTATAAATTCTACAATTTTACTTATTTCCAATTGTTTTGCAAACTTCTCTATATCTGCATAGACCTCTTTTAACGGTCTTATTATTCTCGTCTTGGCAACGTCGTTTATTAAAACCGTAGATAGTTTAAACAATCTTGTACGATCGCTAGTGTTAAAGGCAACGTGAAATAAGCCGAATTTCATCCTGAAATATTGCGATAAAGTATTGTCATTGTCAATATTTTAATGGAAAAAGTTTTGAAACGTGCTTACTTGTATCCATCCATTTCTTCAAAACCATCTGTCAAGGATTTGACCAGATAACCCTGGATGTCAATGCCGTCTTGCATAGCTTTTAAAACCGCTTTTAAATATTTGTGATGATAAACTACTCTTCCCCAATCCATAATACTGCCGGAATCTGCGTAACCGTTTGTGATCCAAATTTCAGGCAACAAATAATCATTATTCAAACGATGCAATAATTTCGTTAATCCCCATGGCGTGATCTAGAATTACAAAAATAACGCGTGTTACTAAATATAAAGTATATGTCAACTTTTTAAAAAATAAATTTTTTATTATAATGATAAAATATTAGGATATGCCTTAATTTTCGTTTCGCCGATCCAACGATCGGTCTCGACCTGGCGAATGTCTGCGTCTTTATCAAACGATACGGGTTTGGTGTCATCATTATAATCTTCCACTGAAGTTGCGGTATAATAATTAATTCCTAAAAAATCGGCAGATCCTCTAATTCTTTCGATTTCTGGGGGTGAGAAAACTGGAAGGCGCGACAAAGGGAAACCTGCTATATAACTTTTATAATCTATTAACAACTGCATGATTTCCGGATAATCACCGGTTTGACTGAATATCGGATATGTGAGCCAATCATTGTAAAATTTATGCGCCCTTTCTGCGGCAGCTACATCAAGCTCCGAAGTATTTCGTTCAGGTACAAACCATGTGTAGTAATTAATTATTCCTAACTTTCCTATAATAACCGAACGCAGATATTAATAAACAAAAGTGATGGTTTATAGATTATTAATTTATAATTCATTACTCGAAGAGCAGAACAATAATACTGAATATATCGATAATATCTCACCGTTATTTCCTTGCGGATTATATTCTTGATGATATAATTCATATACTTTAGAGTGAGCCAATAACATATGATGCCCGCACAAATAATCCGCGACGCCTGGCATGTTCATGGCCGGAATATCTATTCCACCATATCCAAACCGACATATCTTAGTTGGTTCGGCTATAGTAACCCAATATTTCACCTAAAATTATAGTTTTATTATATAATATTTATATCATTCACAAATCCATTTATACTTTTGTGTGATAATATGATTACGTAAAATTGTCGCAATTTAAGTTCAAATATAAGTCTACTAAAATAATGATAGTAAATTACTCTATCTCCAAAAAACATGAAGGCAACAGAGGCATATTCTACGAAAACATCCACTATCTCAGGATCTGTCCAACCACCTAGCTTTTGTAAAAAATATGGCATGTCTCCATCGAATAACGAAATCATCGGTGTAATATTGTTAGCGAGCATTTCATCAATCACTCGATTGTAAAATGATATACCGCTATCACTGATGCGATTGATATTACCATCCGGCAATATTCTGGACCAGGATAATGAAATTTTTATCATATTAAGCTGAAAAGTAATCGAAAATTGTGATTTGAAATGAAATATTTATTAAAAACTGACGCTAGAATATTAATTAAATCATAATGTTGTTAACAAAATTATAATTATGTATTATAATATTCTATTATATTATACTCACTCCAATATTACTTGCAAATTGGATGTCGTCTGGATACAAATGATAAAAATCGCTAGAAACGTCACCATTAGTTCGATCGGAAATTAAACTTGAATTCGAATGTGTCATATAGTCCCATATCGATTCACCTTTGTCTACAATTTAGAATTGTAATTATTTTTTCAACGTATAAATTGTGAATTATAAAGCAGTGACAAAAATAACAAGGTAAATACAATTTATGCTTTGATAAATACCAGTGTTGGAATTATATTTGAAAGTCAGCAAAATAGTTGAAGCTTCAAACTTTTTTAATCGAAATTTTAATCATATTCATGTATATCATACCAGTGACATTCCATGCACCCTCACATTCATACGCCGAAGTAGCCACGCCGAAATGGAAACTATCCGGAAATTCATTATTGGCAAGAAAATTTGCCCGTTTTATTTCAGTTTGAGGGAATTCGTATTTAAATATCATAGGATCATTATATCCGATATAATTGGTAACAAATGCCGTGAAAGATACATAATCGAAATTGTAGAAGTAATTCAAAAAGATATTCAGAATAAATATAATTTCAATGTTTCCAAAGAACATCGCTGAAAATGTTGGATAATACACAAAATCATAAATAAGCCAATAATATATAATAAATGTATAAATGAGCATTAAATAATACAAACTGGCATCATAATAATACAATATACATTAAAAGAGGAGGCTAATATTAAAATATTCACCTGTTTAACATGGAGCGCAATACGTAGACAAACTTCCTACAAAAAGTAATACGCAATACTACTGTGCGCAGCTCTTTGGTATATCGCACAACGTTTGTTTCTGATAAGTATAATTGCTTTCAAAATAGACTAATGCATGTTTGGTAGATGCATTAGTGACAGAAAATTGAAGCATTTTACTGATACATAGAACTTTGTGTATTTCGTTTTTAATGTACATTTCAAAGAATGTGTAATTTATTTATACATATCGTTAAAAACTATTATATTATATATATATATATGTATATATTTAATATATTGTTTCTACTAAAAACATTTTCCGATATTTTATTATTTAATTATTTGTTAATCTAAAATTTTAATTCTATGAAAATAACAGTGAATTATATTATATATATGTGAATGTCAGTACAGAAAGATAATAATGATAATTATATAACATATTTAAAGAATAATCATCTCATTTGCAGCGAACATTCGAGCTTTGTGCACCGAACACATTGAAAGATGTTAAATTTTATTCCACCTACGATATTGTGGGTAATAAGTATAACCATCGTCTTTTCAGCCGCATGATCTGATATTTGGAAAACATTTGCCTTTCTTTACGCGTCATTACACTCGACTGTTACAGTTCAGTGAACGTCTTTTGCCATCGACTATATCCGACTTTCGGTATTGATCATAGTCGCGATCTCCCCTGAAAGTCTGAACAGAAATTTATCGCTCTGCAAGCTCGTTTCCCATTTGAATATTTATGAAATTTTTACATTTGTTCCGCATATTCAATGAACATACGTGATTTATACAATCTTAAAACGGTTATATAAGATGAAATAATTTATTCATTCCAAGATAATTCGATTAAATTAAAAGCACAAAAATTTTTGAAGGATACATGAAATTTCATAAATTATTAATAACATATCATTTTAATCATTATTCAGCGAATATTTGAAGTTCTTCGGTAGAACACGTAAGGTTTCCTTTATTAATGTATCGACCGATCAATATCAGGCAGAAATACAATGCTGATATTGTTTGCGAGGTACAGAAAAACAACGAAGAACTTTCTTCGATCGTTGACGATGCCAAGGACTTTGGGTTGTCTTGATATCCTTTATGATTTTCGATTTACCCAGAGTGACGTTGAATGACTTTTTCAAGACAGATGATGTATGGCATGGATGTATCTGTACAGGAACCATTAATTAATTAAAGTCATATTTGATCGATTCTACTTAATTGACGATGATAAATAATTTTTTTTAAGTGATATATTTTAACATTCACAATAATGAAACTGCATTTTTCTGGTATCTGCAATTTATGAAGCTACTCTACACACGGATACGGTGAAAATACGGCAAACGGAATAATGCAGGATGCTAGCTATCTCGTACTGCATAACCGTGCCTCATACATCACTATCTGAAGCATCCGGTATTACTCTCATACGCCGTGAGCACGCAATATCCTGCCAGGTTACAACTAAGTAAATATTATCGAATGTTTCCGCGAGGCAATTAAAGATTGAAGTTGATCGAAGGCAATCATTTGCCCATCATTAAGTAATTTCTCAATGTACGAGATTGTACAAGATGTATCAAAGGTTACAACATGTAATTAGTATAATCATGAATGACTAATACTCATTGACATACATAAAATAATATATTGATCTCTTGTTGTCGTTTATTAAGGAATTTTTTAATGCATTAGTATTCTGAGTATTTAAGCTTAAATACTATTATTTCTCACTTATTTTGAAATTTTTTTATTATCAAATGAAGAAAACATTCGCAATAAGCATTCAATAATATATTATATCATATACTATCATCTATATAAATTGAAAAAATCTTACATGATAACGCAGTGGTCCTGGTCCTTTGATATTCTCTTTCTTTTCACGTGGAGCGTAGCATATCACGCCGTTCTTTACGTTCTTTGATATATCTCCCCTGAGATCGTAGTAGGATGGACCTATGCACGCACAGTAATAATGAAAAAGCTTCCTCGCCGATTTCTTTGTTATCTACTTCGCTTTATACCTGGTACATGGAAATCGATGCCTTTTGATATCACCGGAAACCGACTGGCGCGTGAGCCGAAGGGTGGAGCTAATCGTCGACAAAGGAAATCGCATCTATCACGATTAGTTTTGAAGGCTGATAAAGCTTCATAAGCACCTGGATCCGGTACATCACTCTATCAAAATTGAACGATAAAGAATCCTTAATTTATAGGAAATAAATGGTGCTCGATTATGCTATTATGCTGCGATTGAAATAAAATCCACATAGAAGATATTTTTATATTTCGAGCTATATGAATTTTGCTCGGTGAGATCAGAGGAGTGGAAGGTAATCAGGAAAACTCCGCTTTCCTTCTTTGTAATTTAATCATTTAGGATGGACAACAGACACAAATCTAAGCGCCGATGTTTCCGGCCATCTGCAATTCGCGCTATAGAGACAGAGACACCAGGCAGGGATTGGCTCGAATTTCCGGCTCAGCGAGCCGGAAGTGATTTCTCTGGGCAACATCGGCCACGCGCTTCTGCGTGGAAATGACCTGCAGAGCACAGCAAAACGTCATTTCCGGCAGGCAGTCACCACTCTTCCCTACGTTATGTAAATTTGAGCTTCCTTAAAATGGCATGCCACAATTCTTCGCAACAAAAAACGTCAAAAGAAGGAGTCAATTGATGCTGCTTCTATCGCGAAGCGAAAAGCATTGATTCATTTATTTAGCAGGAAACTAACGCGACTAATTGATTACCGCTAGTTAATTTATCAATCGATACACCAATAGATGTGTCGCCTGCAGACTGTGCTCACAGTTTTGTAACGTTTCGATTGTTAAGTGAGACGCCGGCTAATGGAAACTACACGAACTTGAATATAGCGGAATCAGTGGCAAGTCGTTCGGCACTGACGATTCTATCCTGGCCTATCTACTGGCTGCGGTATCGAATCTCGTCCCGACGCTCTCGATTAACGGCCAGATTGGATCCTAGTCTCGAATCGCCCCGGGTACAGATGCATCGGTTCGATCCGCTGCCATTAATTTCGTCTCCAGCTCTCCTGATTACCTTGCGCTTCTAGGATTACTCGGGTCCACCTAGCCCAACGGATTCTCGAACAAGCCGAAAGAATCTTCGGACGTTCGGTCTGACCACAGACTTATTGTGACTACTAGTTTAAGTTTCTTATCGTCGTAAGCCGGGCAAAGGCAATTACGATCGCGTTCTTTATTGAAGTCATCAATAATTAATTAATTGATTACGATAATGCATAGAGAGAGAATATAATATGACGTATTTCTCCCTGTTATTTATTTTATGGTAATAATAGAAATTTAGTATATTATTGTTCTTAGTCCGTCTTTTATTTTTAGTTATTTCATATTATACATAGAAAAAATTGTTTTATTTTTTAGAAACACATCAAAATTTTTTAATTATCAAGCATCTTTTATATCTTTTGCAGTTTATAGAATTCTAACCTTTTACGATATGATAATTACACTAAAAATTATTTATTTCTATTAATTATATATATATATATATATATATATATATATATATATATATATATATATATATATATATTACAATATCAGGCTTTTATGGTGGTGCTGACATCTTTCAGCAAATAGAGCTTGTATATGTAAGCACTTTTGTGTTTCTACAATATATCGATTGAGTTATACAAAAAAAAAAAATAATAATAATAATAATAACTGCATACAAAACTAAAAAGAATTTTTTCTTAACAAAGTAATAATCAATACTAAGCATTTGCTCATAAAAATAAAAATTTATAATAATTTTGAATGAACAATTTAACTAAAAAAACATGTATTTTATTATGTATAACATTTTTATAATACTTACATGTTTGTAAATTTTGGAGAATCTATCCACTCTTGACTTAAAAACCGCATGATATACAGGGAATTTTTTCTCATCTACTTTTTCGTATTCATCGTAACATAACATTTGTTCATCTTCGTCACTTATCAATCTCAGCATTTGATAAAAGTTTTGATAATTAATCGTTTTTCTATAATAATCTTTAAAACGTCTTTTAGACTCAAAAGCCAAATTTCCAACATCCGTGTGATAATCCGCAGGTCCTGTAATATCAATTTACGCAATTTTATTATAAACTTAACGTGCGTTTAATATTTGTTTACATAATATATACCTGGAGTTACTGTGTCATCGACTTTTTTAAATCGGGTATTGAAAGCGCCGAAAGGTGCGGCAAGAATAGAACTGTAACAAATTTGTTCATTTGCGATTTCATATGTCCCCGGTCCAGGTGTCTCTGATTCAATATCCTTCTCAAATCTCTTAAACAAATAATTAAAAATAAATCATAATTACACACAATAAATAGAAATCATATATTCTAAACAAACATACCTTTGCAGTTTGATTAAAAGGTGGTGGCTCCACTTTATAAGGATTACACTTACACGAGATATATTTGTACTTATCAAACACGCTTTTCGGTGGACCGTAACGATTAGGAGCTGGAAAGTTCTTTTCGGGAAAAACAAATTTTTATAAGATGATTTAAGACAGAAACAAAGGTAGTTTCCCGGATTTTCGCGAAAGAACCAGTGGGAAAGTTACAAAGCGTGCTCTTAAAATTACTTGGCGTAATTTTTGCTGGTACAAAGCTTCCAAGAAACGCGGCTGCTTAACGGTGGCTCTTTTCGCTTCCCTAGTTTTCTCGTCGTGGATTTGGGCGGGACTTTTCTTTGTTTCATGCTCGTAGTTCCCGGGACCCGGGGTCACGGAAGTCCGTTCGTCATCTCTACCCTTCATTCTGCTCCAAAAGTTTCCTTTGTACTTCAGAGTAGTAAAGTTTGTCTCCTGCGGTATAAATAATCGTTCGCGAGATCTTTTATGGAAAGAAAGCACAGTTTTTTTATTACCCCTCGATGAATATCGTAAAAATCGGTTGGTTCATGCTTGATGACCGGATTTTTTACTAATACGCCGCGTTCATCATAGATATATCCGTCGACATCATGTTTCGAAGGGACAGAAGGGCCTGTTAGTATAATCGATCGTGGAGGGCGAATCAACCATAGCTACAGATATAATAGACAAAAAGAAACGACTGAAAAAGAGATATTTAATTGTACACAATATTAAATATTAAATACATTTGCATAAAAATGTTATAAATTTTTAAGCGACAAAACAATCAATGAGATTTGTAACATTATATCATATAGCATTAGTAATATAATATAAAATTTTTAATCACACAGCGAAGCATTTTACATGTTAGCAGAAAAATACTTTACTTTGCCAGCAGGGCCTCGCCAAGTACCCAGATGGGATCTTGTTTTTTGAGGCGATTCCTGAAATGAATCATCTGGCAAACTGTACCTTGTTGTTGGTTCTTCATACACCTTTTCTTTAAATCTAACATCGGTGTAATCGATACTAACGCCGCCCTGTAAATTATTGAATCTCAAAGGATGTTGGATTTACATATCTCGATGGCAAGCGTGTGGAAGAATTGCAAATAAATGAAGCATGAATAGGGAAAATGCACGTTCTGGTATATGTTTTTGCGGCGCCTCTATATTGTACGAGCCAGGTCCTGGAAACTTATGCGCGTCTTTTGGTATGCCGAGTGTCTGTCTGCTGGTTCCGCTCAAAAATGGATAAGCATTGTCTGTGGAACATGGTCATGTAAAAGTGTACACAGCGCATGAGAATGCAAATTTAACGGAAAAACACATGGATATTGTACATTATGAGTTACCCAGATCTCGAGGTGGCTTTGATATATCCGATACATCGTAAGTTCCGGGCCCTATTTGATCACAGGTCGACGTAGTTCGTTTTACGAATTTTTCTACTCTGTCAAACGCCATGCGTCAGCTTTAGCGTACACAATTGAAAAGAAAAAATTTAAAGCAAGCTTGACTTATAACCTAAATTTAAAAATAAAAGCACACTTGAAAAGCAGCGACTGAGCGACAAAAAACAACTTAGAATCACACTTTTTTATAATTGTCAGCTTTAATATAATAATAATATTTGTTACATCTGCTATATATAATTGTATAGTGTTTCGAATTTATGTATTTAATTATAAAAAAATAATATTTGTTTTGTAATTGCTTTTTACAATAACTTAATATCTAGTAATAATTAAAAAATTGATATGTCTTATATATCTAATGTTTGAAAATGTAGGCAATGACATTTACAAAAAAAATATATTTTAATAAATATGTTTAGTATTTTAAAGTTTAATAAAATATCAAGTAGTTTAAGAGTTGTGTGATTGAAATTTGTACTTTAATATTATTTTTTTTATATTATTAGGCTTTTTATAAGTACTAGAACAATACAGGCGCGCGCTGCGCTCGCGCACTTATTATAATCATTTAATAATTATCAAATCTAAATATTTTAATAAATTTTTTTTATTTTAAATAACCGTCAAAATAACCTTTGCTCTCAATCTATTAAACTATCAGAATAATCGCGATAACCAATCAGCGTCGTGGAAAAGCATCAACAATACTTTCGATACATTCAAATATCGATCTTTCAGGCCTTTTTTAAGAGTAGATCAAGTGATTCTTATAAGGTGATTATGAGGTATAGACTTATTAATTATTAAATTATTAAATATGATAATATCATTATTATAATTATTAAATATTACGTCAGAAAATGTGTAATACAAATAATTTCGATAAAATTTATATATTTTTATTTAACATAGCATATTGATATATAGTATGTGTACATAACGAGACTAAACAAAATACAGATTATTGGATTCTATTCTATCATCGTGTTGCGATGTTTTTGGCACGTACCATCTCAATACCTTACATTATTAAATAACTTGAGTATTGAATTTTTTTTTTGATGATAATACATTATAATGCAAGATAATATCTGAAATATCACAAATATATTACCAAAAACAATATTAAAAAAAAGAAACATAAAGAAAACATACCTTACTACAATTATATAAAATTGTATTTTAAAATTTATTTTTCCAGATACTAATTTTACTGTAGTTAATCCTTTAGCTGTCTCACAAAAACAATAATAATTAATAAACCTCATAATCAGCCGATAAGGATCCTGATTAAATAAAAGTAAGATTGTAATAGAGCAACTCGATCGGCTCTCGATAGGGGCATTGCGTTACCAAACATCTCAGGTCCCGATCGGGTGTACTCATTAGGACCCGATCACTAAGTAAGAACTTGCCTGATCAGTTCCTTATCGGGGCCTTATTGATATTTTTATTCGAGTCCCGATTGAATGTACTCATCAAAACCCGATCACTAAGTAAGGCCTTGCCTGATCAGTTCCTTATCGGCAACTTATTAATATCTTCACTCAGGACCCAAGTGGTAACTATTACCAAATATTTAGTAACAATTACCATATCATTTAATAACTATTGCCAAATATTAGATAATTATTACCAAATATTTAGTAACTATTACCAAATATTTGGTAACTATTACCAAATCATTTAGTAATTATTACATAAAATTTAGTGAATATTACGAATGATATGGTAATAGTTACCAAATGATTAGGTATTAATTACTAAATATTTGGTAATAGTTACTAAATATTTGGAAATAGTTACTAAACGATTTCGTAATAGTTACCAAATATTTGGTAACAATTAACGAATATTTTAATAACTATTAACAAATCATTTGGTAATAGTACTAAATATTTGGTAATAGTTACTAAACGCTTTGGTAATAGTTACCAAATATTTGGTAATAATTATCAAATATTTTGTAATAGTTGCTAAATGATTAGGTAAAAGTTATAGTAATTATTACTGAATTAATTCGTCCTCATTACCAAATATTTGGAAATAATTACTAAATCTTGTCGTCCTTATTACCAAATATTTGGTAATAATTACTAAATCTTGTCGTCCTCATTACCAAATATTTGGTAATAATTACTAAATCTTGTCGTCCTCATTACTAAATATTTGGTAATGGAAATCGAAATTTTCGAGTTGTCATTACCAAATATTTGGTAATGGAAAACGAAATTTTCGAGTCGTCATTACCAAATATTTGGTAATGGAAAACGAAATTTTCGAGTCGTCATTACCAAATATTTGGTAATAATTACTAAATCACTTCGTCGTCATTACCAAATATTTGGTAATGGGAAACGAAATTTTCGAGTCGTCATTACCAAATATTTCGTACTGGAAAACGAAATTTTCGAGTCGTCATTACCAAATATTTGGTAATGGAAAGCGAAATTTTCGAGTCGTCATTACCAAATATTTGGTAATGGAAAACGAAATTTTCGAGACGTCATTACCAAATATTTGGTAATGGAAAACGAAGTTTTCGAGTCGTCATTACCAAATATTTGATAATAATTACTAAATCTTGTCGTCCTCATTACCAAATATTTGGTAATAATTACTAAATCTTGTCGTCCTCATTACTAAATATTTGGTAATAATTACTAAATTTTGTCGTCCTCATTACAAATATTTGGTAATAATTACTAAATCTTGTCGTCCTCATTACCAAATATTTGGTAATAATTACTAAATTTTGTCGTCTTCATTACCAAATATTTGGTAATAATTACTAAATTTTTTTGCCCTCATTACCAAATATTTGGTAATAATTACTAAATTTTTTCGCCCTTATTATCAAATATTTGGTAATATTTACTAAATCATTTTTTTCCGACTTATCAAATATTTGGTAATTACTTAAGTACTTAATTCTAATAAATATTTACTTGATTTTAATAAACATTTACTTTATTCTAATAAATATTTACTTTATTTTAATAAATATTTACTTAATCTTAATAAATATTTACTTGATTTTAATAAATATTTATTTGATGCTAATAATTATTTATAACTTGTTTTTGATAAATATTTAATTAAATCAAAAAAATAATTTACTTGAATAAAAAA